TGTCCCCTCCAGCAGTGGAAGATGCAAGTCTAGGGCCCAGGTTTGCTTTGCCTCCACTTCCTTTAATAAACACCAAAGCTACATTGCAAAAATTGCTTGTGCCCTGTGTCAAAGAATTCTTTGTTTAAACGTTGTGCCCAACTCTGTGCTAATCCCAACCAGGCCTCCGAGCAATACTTTACATATTGCTGGCTGTAGCTCACTGTTCCTGGCCAGAACACTGGAGGGAAATAAGGAGAGAGGGACAGGAAGTCCTCTTCCTTATTCCTATGAACGTGTCTCCCTATATCGTGCATATAGTAAAAGAGGGTACGAAACTCACCAGGTTTTTTTGCTTTCTATTTTTATAGAGCAAATGAAAATTTGTTCTCTCATCACTTTTCCTTTCTTTAACAAAGGCAGCTTCTTTCTTTTTGTTTGCCTTTCTTCTTTTCTTAAAGCATTTCTACCTTCCAAATACAAAATACTGGACTTCCTTACTAAATTAGATAAAAGCTCACTTAGCTTTGTATGAGTCCCTTCCTTAGTGAGAGATTTACCTGGATCCAACGACAACTTTTGTTTCTTCCCTTTTATGCCCACGAGTTTTCCAACTGCTGGTCAGGGGAAAGAGGGCTGAAGTTGGTGGCCACGAACTAGAAAGAAGGTGGTTGGCTGATCCTCAAGATCTCAGCTTCAATAACAGCCCACTGCAGCCAATTGAGCTCACTAGGTACACTTGTGAGAAGAAAGATTGTGCTTTTGTGGAGAATTATGCCAAAATTCTGCTTCAGCCCCCAGCAACAGATTCTTTGGGGTGTATTTAGTGAAAGGCCATTTGGGAAATGGACTGTACATGCAGCAAATAGGATTTTGGTTAAATGGTGACATTTGTTTCCAAAAGTGTATCAGAGGGGAAGCTAAGCTCTTCAGAGCATGTGTTCATTAAAGATTTGAAGTGGGGTGGGAAGCAATAAAAAAAAAGGCCAGTGGGTTCTCTTGTGAGATAGTTTTTTGTTCCTGTGAATTGAATACACTCTGAAAAGTTTCAAAAAGAGACTGGGAAGAATGTATTTTCTTTGATCCAACATGTGGAGTGTTCCTTACTACAAATATCCTTTAATTTAGAAACATTGTTGAAATGTCTGTTTGAAAGTACATAAAAATATAATATGTAAATAAGCTCTAATTAGTTATTTCAATTAATTATTTTTGGTCTCTACTTTGCAGCTCTATTTTTCTCCCTATAATGTCGCTTTTCAGAGTCCAGCTTTGGCACCCTCCAAAAAATGTGTTTCTGTAACAGTCATTATTAACAAAACACATTTTCGCCCTGTTGAAAACCTCATAATGGTAAAGTAAAATCCCAGATCGTGTATTTTTGTGGGAAATTGTTGCAGACATTTTTACTCCATGATTTGCTATTATGATAGTAAAGGAAATCTTGCAGTTAATTGAAAAAGCTGGTGTTTCCTTCTTCAAATAAATGGCATGTGTTGATTTTTTAGAAAATGAGTCTACATGAGACCACTGGCCTCTAATCTTTCCCAATCATTCTATGTTCTTTCAAAGACAAATACGTTGGATTTGGGGATTAAAAGTTTTAATTCTATCTAAGGTGAATAGGATACTCCCAGTGGAGACAAGAATCCTCTGGAAAAACACTGGTAAAATGAACTCAGGTTGTATTTACATAGCCAAGTTTTAGAAATTGACTAAGAACCTGAAATGTTGATTTTGGAAGCCTAGAGATTAAACTATGTGACAAATTATGAGCTTTTCACTGAACAGTCTGCACACCCTCTGCACTTTTCTTGAATAGAATCAGAATTTTAGAGCTTAGAGGGACCTTGGGGGTCACCTAGAAATTGGGGAGCAGTCCTCAGCTTTTACCCATCAAAGTTTCTGGTGAGGGGGTGGGAGGGAGGAGGAGGTTGCTCATTAGAAATGCGGATTCCAGGTCCGTACGTCAGATCTACAGAATCAAAATCATCTCAGGTGGAAGGGGGATCCACATTTATCACAAAAATCTTCAGAAAATGCTCATGCTCACTGAATTTAGCAATCCACCAATTTGGACTAGCTAGCTCCTTTATTTTGTGGTGAGGAAGCAGGCCTAGGGCGTTTGACAGGTCCTGCTCACAGTGTGCCCTAGGCAAGAACAGACCCAGGCTTCCTGACCCTAGACTATTCGTTCTCCTCTGTGCACCATGTGTCCAAAGCAGTCTCAAGCATCCAGACAGGTTCAAGCCTACTTCTGGGTCATTAGGGTGATTTCAGCACCCATAATAGGATAGTATGGTTCTAAATAAGGTATGAAGACAAAGACACCCAAGGACTAGAGGTAGGAGTTTATGTGCTGCTGCTTTTGTCTAAACTAAACCCTGAATGAACTTTAGCCGGGGTTCTCTCATTCTTTCTCTCTTTTTTGAGCCAGGAGACCTATGCAAATTTGCAAAGATGTTTAGCTCATTTAGTTGGCTCATATGGTTGAACCCCTAGCATGTTGAGCTTTGGACCTGTGTGCTCAGTTGATATAAATAGTTTTGGGCTTTGTGCTTTCTTAAAATACATATTTGTATATTTTAATATTGTCTATGTATATTGCATCCAGAAAGTTAGAATAAAATCATTAAAATTATAGACTAAGCCCAATATTACCTACCAAAGGATATGTAAATATTCAGCAAATGCTTACTGATGTCTGTTATATCTAAAATTCAAACAACCAAAAGCTAAAATAACCTAATTAATTTTTTCAGTATTCTGTGGTGACAATTTAAACTTTAATGATGATCCTGAATTTCTGCAAGATCATGATCACCTTCTAAATCATTAGGGAAGATTGAATTCTATTCAGTGTCATTTTAGTGTTAAGTCAACTTGACTAACTAATTTTTGGAAACAGCAATATCTCAGTGTCTAGGATAAATCAAGTTTCATTGAATTCTGTTCCACAGAATTATGTTCCACAGTTTACATATGAACTCATGTGAAATATATTGTTCTTAGAATGGTAGCATATTTTAACAGGGATATTAATGAAAGTAGGCTGTTTTGAGAGGCAGGTGATCAGGTTAAGATGACGAATTTTGGAATAGTAATAGAAAATTAAAATCTCTGCATATGTAAGTGAATATAGGTGTGCCAAACAATACTCAGTTTATCATCCCTTCAACATAAATATTTGATTGTCCACGATGTGTAAAACTCTGTGCTAAGTGCTGAAGATAGAAAAATAGATCTGAGGAGTTTATAGCATGTTCCTGGCTGTACGTGCCCATAAAAAGGCATGATAATTTAAGGAAGCACATGCTAAATGGCACATGAGTAATGCAGTGAGTGAGGGCAGCAAACAGCAACCATGTTCCAACATTCACAGCCCTGTGATTGTGCCAGGGTCTCCTCTGTCACACAGAAGCTACATGTGTTTGGTTCTTCCTTACCTTTCACACATTTTTCATTCCTCAGCCAGTCTGAAAGACGGGAGCTTGTGATTTTGTTGCTGCTCAATAGTAAAGAAAGAGCCATACCAGGAAGGAACAGGATCAAGCTCTTAAGGCATACTACTAATATATTTACTTACTGTATTTCAATACCTCTTGTATTTAACAATAGGATCTAATTCTCTTCCTGGAGGATGCACTGTGAAACTGCTTGATTCCTGATGCTATTTTATTTGTGAGGAAAATGAAAGTTCTTTTGAGTTTTGTGATACTTACATTCATGGGGTTTTGTGTGAATCAGAATCTTCTTAGGTTGGCAGTTTGGTAAATAAATGTTCCTTCCTTATAATGGAAATGGGGTGCAATAATGATCATTATATTATTATTATTGAAAGAGTAATTCAGTTTTGTACCCACATCATGAAATAGGCTTAGTGTCAGATCTCTTTGGTCAATATAGTTCTTGGTACCTAACCATGAAATGGGCCACATGGAAGGATTTCTAAAATGAAAGCTGTAGATCAGAAATGTAAGAATAATGACACTGTGTATTCTTGACTGCTTGTTCTGGGGCTGTCAAGGTTTTGTCCTTTGGGATGATTGTGACAGAATTTTTATACTCCTCAGTAGAAGGTAGTTCCTCCAATCTAAAGAAAAGTGATGGCTTCTTTGTGGCAGAGCCATGAGTATTACCAGGTCCCCTGACGGTACCACAACAGTGCTCACAGAATCCTGGACTTTCTTGGATCAAAAAGGCATTAATCACTTGCAGGCAACCAGTAGTTTTGAATAATGGGCAAGATGTGTTGCAGTAGAGATCAGAGAAGAGGGTGCTGTGTGAGGAGGAATGATATACGTTTCAATGCAGTGGATGGAGTGAGCACACTGTGTTGTTTGGGGAACATTGAGAAGAGTTCCCCGACTGGAATAAAGAGATTATATTCCCAGTGGAGAGTAGCGAGAGAAAAAGTTGGAAAAGTGAGAAGGGGCCAATAAAAGACCAAATTCCTTATATTGATTTTGTAAGCAAAGGAAGGCTACTTATCAGTTTTGGGGATCATTTAGATAAGGCTACAGCCAAATCTGAACTCTGCTTTTTATTGGCTAGGTGACCTCAGATGAGATAGTTAGCTTCACAGAAATCTTAGGTTCTTCAACTATAAAATAGAATTGATAATATCTCCTTCATTGAAATATTGTACAGCTTAAACAAGATCCTGTATGGAAGCCCTCAGCAAAGCGCCCGGTGGAAATACAGTCCCGAGCAGGGCAGTAAGGAGATAAAAGGTGGGGTTATAGAGAGACCAGTCACTGGCCACTGTGTGTAGAAGAGATGGCATCAGGAGAGACCAGAGGCAGGGGACCAGTTAATGACATTTACAGTCATCTTCCAGGGGGTGAAGGGATGGAGGTTGTCACATTAGGAAGAAGAGGACACATCTATACAACTCCATTCTCTATAAGTTCTTTGTTGTTGCAGACTTTCATTTGAGCATTGTGTGACCTTGTTCTTTAACATCATTGTGTGATGTTAAATGTACAATAATCATAGGCTCTTTCTTTTACCTTGGACAGGATGCCAGCGAGCCATAGGTCTTTCCAACGGGAAAGCCAAAGTGTGCAATTACAGTGGGTGGTATTACTGCAGCACCTGCCACGTGGATGACAGTTTTCTCATCCCGGCTCGCATCGTCCACAACTGGGATACTTCTAAATATAAGGTAGGTACAAAAACTGGGTTTGCTTAATAACAGGAATTCATGTGTTCATATGTTGTCAGGTGGATTGAAAAAATAATGATAAAAGAATTTGAAGTAAACTTGATTAGGTAGTCTGACAAAAGCTGTAAGATCTTATCTAATACTTCTCCTATCTCTCATAGATTAAGGCTTCTTAACTACGACTCCTATTAATTTTCTCATTTAAAAAGACATATGTCTCAGTTTTTACTTCTGGACCTTGGTAATTAACTGTAGGTGCTAAGAGAGAATTCTGATAGAGAAAAAGGCCTCTCAATTTTTATTAGATCTTACCTCTAATATTGCAGCACTATGGGGAGATAAAAATGGGAAAATAATACATGCATGAGCATGCTAGTAATCTTTCAAGGAGGGGATTTATATAATCCAAGGTATTTCTTAGAGTAGAGTAGCACTCCTACTCATGTGAAGGTCAGTCTCCTAGCAAATCCAGGCTCCTGGAACCTTCAAAGAAGCTATGAAGACTTGTCGGTGGGGTCCCAGAGCAAGAAACAGTGCACTGAGCCATCTTCAGACCTTCATGAGGACTGTTTTTTTTAAAAAAGAGGAGCAAGTGAGAAGCTCAGGTATATGCTAACAGCTTTGCAAAGTAACCGCTAACAGCCAAGGAGGATATTTAAAATAGCAGGCTTAGTAGCTACAAAAATGCAAGTCAATGGAGGAGAACGGGAAGACTGAACCCTGGGATGCTCCAACTTGAGAGGGGAGAGAGACGAGGAGGAACCAGCAAAGGAGGCCAAGAAGGAGTGAGCAGTGAGGTAGAAGGACCCCAGGGTGTCTGACAAGCCATGGGAAGAAAGTGTTTCCAGATGAATTGTGACAGATGGTGATAGGTCAAATAAGATGAGCACTGAGAATTGACCATTGGCTTTAGTAATGTGGAGGTAATTAGTGACCTTAATGAAAGCAGTTTGAATGGAGTGGTGGGAGCAAAGGACTGAATGGAGTGGGTTTAACATAGAATAGGAAGAGAGAAATAAGAGACAAGAATAGATGACTCTTTTGAGAAGTTTTGCTATAAAGGGAAGGTGAGAGGTCAGGAGTAACTCAAAGGGAAGTGGGGTCAAGTTAGGTTTGAATTTTTGTTTTAGTGAAAAAAATAATGGCATGTCTTTTGTGCTGATGTGAACTATCCAGGAGAGACAGAATTGCTAGAATAATATGGTTGAGTCAGTGAGAAGGATGGAGTCATGTAGACAATAAGAGGGTTTGGCCATTGCTTGGAGCATGGAATAAGAGAAAAGGCAGTCTGGAGATGGGAGCTGGTGGGGAGGTAGATGTGATGTTAGGAGCTTATGGAAGTTCTCTTCCATTTACATCAGTAGCTTTCATCAGATTCTTTTATTTCAGCATCTGTGATCTTAAAGAGCCCAGGTCACTGTGAGAAGTGTGTTTACCTTCTACTTCATAGAGAAAACAGGGAATGATTGCACAATAATTTCATCAGCCCACCTATCTACAAACTTGTCTGCATCCACATGTGCCCTCATTGTCCTCCTTCCAGCACAGAAGAACCATGACTTCTCTTACAAAAGTTTATTCCTTCTGCCTCTGCTCATGGTCTTAACTCCTCCCTTCTCCATCATGGTTTTGCCAAATTTTGTTGACCCTTGGCAGTTTCTGATTCTCCTGGACTTTTTTGGGATGCAGCATTTGAGCATGTGGACCACATTCTCCTTGAATTTTATGGCCTTGGGTTTAATGACACACCCCCAGTTCATCTCCTCCTTCTGACTCTTCCTTTTCAAGCATCCTCTCTGATTTCTTGTCCTCTGCTTATACCTTTAATACTGGGGCTCCTTAAGGTTCATTCTTTTGTTTGTTTTTCCCATTTTATGCTCTTTCTGTTGGGTTATTGATTTCCCTTCTTTGGGTTTAACTACCAGAACGCATGTACCGATGATTCCTCCTTTTATTTCCAGCTCCAGTTTTGCTACTGAAATCGAGAGCTTTTGCTTTAATTGCTTATTGGACATCTCAACTTTAGTTTTCAACCTAGTAGTCTTCAAGCTGTGTGAATTGGTTTGTTTTATTGTATAAGCATGTCTACCCTTGGGCAGACAAGGTGGTAGAATTCAGCAAGTCCAGGAATCTAACTCCCCACTGGAGTGGTACTCTAGGCTTAGGATTCTGTTGTGGTCTTAAACATATAGTAGATAATATACTTCTGTTACTTGATATTACTAGAAGCTTTTCTGATACTTCTGCCAAAATATTGTGACATCTGCCTTGAATGAACCTTCTGTGCAAGGTGCTTCATATACAAACAGGCTGTATGGGTGGTTTTTATTGATACCTAATAGTTGTCTAATAGTTGTATGTATTTATGGGGTTCAAGTGATATTTTGATACATGTATACAATGTGTATGATTACATCAGGCTATCTATTGCCTTAAATTTATCATTTCTTTATGTTGAGAACATTCAAAATTTTCTCTCCTAGCTATTTTGAAATATATAATAAATTATTGTTAACTGTAGTTGCCCTACTGTGCTGTCAAACACTACAACTTACTCCTTCTAACCGTATGTTTTTACCCATTTACCAATCTCTCTTCATTCCTCCCCCCACCCCCATGCCTTTCTCAACCTCTAATAGCCATCATTCTACTCACTACCTTCATGAGTTTTGTTTTAGCTTCCACATATGAGTGAGAACATGCAATATTTGTCTTGCTGTGCTTGGCTTATTTAACATAATCTCCAATTCCATCCATGTTGCTGCAAATGATAGGATTTTGTGCTTTTTTATGGCTAAATAATATTTCATTGCGTATATGTACCACATTTTCTTTATCCATTTATCCATTGGTGAGCACAGAGGTTGATTCTGTGTCTCCTTTCTTTTAGATTTATACTCAGCAGTGGGATTGCTGGATCATATGGTAGTTCTATTTTTAGTTTTTAGAGGAACCTGCATACTGTTTTCCACAGTGGCTATACTACTTTACATTTTTACCAACAGTGTCCAAGCATTCCCCTTTCTCTGCATCCTCACAGCATCTGTTATTTTCTGTCTTTGTGAGAATAACCATTTTAACTGGGGTGAGATGATACCTCATTGTGGCTTTGACTTGCATTTCCATGATGATTAGTGATGTTGAGTGATTGTTTTTATATACCTATTGCCATTTGTATATATTTTTTTCAGAATTGTTGATTCGGACCTTTTTAAATCAGATGATGATGATGATTATTATTACTTTGCTATTGAATTGAGTTGCTTATATATTCTGGTTATTCATCTGTTGTTGGATGGATAGTTTGCAATTATTTGCTCCCATTCTGTGGGTTGTATCTTCACTTTGTTGATTGTTTTCTTTGCTATGCAGAAGCTTTTTAGCTTGATGGAATCCCATGTGTCTATTTTTGCTTTTTGCCTGTGCTTGAGGTTGCCTGTGCTTTTGAGGTCTTACCCAAAAACTTTGCCCAGACCAATGTCCTTAAGTGTTTCCCCAATGTTTTCTTCTAGTAGTTTCATAGTTTTAGGTTTTACACTTAAGCCTTTAATCCATTTTGATTTGATTTTTGTATATGGTGAGAGAGATGGGTCCAATTTCATTTTTCTGCATATGGACATCCAGTTTTCCCAGCACCATTTGTTGAAGAGACTGTCCTTTCTACAGTGTATGTTCTTCTCACTATCATCAAAAAAGAGTTGGCTATAAATGTGTGGATTTATTTTTGGGTTCTCTATTATGTCCCATTGGTCTGTGTGTTTATGATTTTTTTTTATCACCTTGCTAATAGATGTCTGAGACTTACTTTCACTGTAACTGTGTTACCTGGGAGCAAGTAGGTAGGGGAGGGCCCTAGAGCTGTCACCTCCCTTGAATCTTTAAACTCTAAAACAAACTTGAAAATTGTGAGTGGCCAATTGGCTTATGTCCTTTTCTCTATCCCTGAGCAACTTTGTCCCCTTTTGTACCCAGTAACCATCCAAATCCTCACTGTTTACAAAATGTTTCATCTTAATCCCCCTCAGCATATGACCTTGCCTCTTACTGCAAGGAGAAAAATGAAGTTATAGGAGCTGAATATCTACACATCTATCTATATTTGTTTGCACTTATCCTTACTGCTTTACCTCATATCTTGAGAGACAGAAGAGCCCCTTCTCTTGTTTAGTGATCATCCTTCCACATGCGCTCCAGATATTTTTATTCATCTAGTAATCCCTGCTTAATGAAAGCACATGCTCCTCAGTGAAAGCTTCTCTGTTGCTCTCTACCTGTCCCCATCTGCTGTACTGCTGGCTCTCTCCTTTGTGCCATCATCATGTCATGCACAGGCCTCAAGAATTGCACTTATTTAGGGTTAATAGAGGAGCTTGGAGTTAAATAAGCATTTGTCCAAATTATACCTCTACCTCTTATTAGGTGCTTGATTTGTTGGGGAAAATTGCTTGAACTTTCCTGAGCCTCAGTTTTCTAATCTGTAAAATGAGCTCAGACTGCCTGGGTTCAAGTCTTGATTTTGTCAAATGTTAGCTGTCTAATGTGGGCAAGTTATTTAGTCTCTCTGTGTTTCAGTTTCCTAATAATGAGAATAATATCTTGTAGGGTTACTGATGGTTAAATTGATCAATGCATGTGAAGTGTTTAGAACTATGCCTAGCTGGTAGTGTGTACCAAATAAGCATTTATTCTTACCATCATTCACATATTTACCTAAAAGAGTTGTGCGAATTGGAATAATGTAAGAAAAGCCCTTAGCAAATGACTGTGATAAACATTTAATGAATGGAAGTTGTTATTATTGTCATTATCATCATATCTGTATAATAGCTGGTTGCTTGTCTGTTTTCTTTATAAAGGTGAGCGCCTGCACAGGCAACGTGTCTTAGCAGACCTCCTGGCTCGTAGGTGAGCAGGAATGTCTCTTGAATGAATGAAAGAATGAAGCCTGTGCCCTGGGCACCTCAAACTCAACATGCCCCAAATTGGCTTTATCACGCTCA